TCCTATTTCAGAAAAGGTATATAAAACAAGCGAACTTTAAGTAATACTGACGGAAATTATCAGAATCACTCAAGATAGCTTTCAGTCTTGGAACACGCASACTTGACTCTGTTCAACACATTTAGACTAAAGTGACTCTATTAAGCGATAATCCTCGGCTCAATTTCCAAATTGGCCGTTTAATAGAGGTTGGTCGCTGAATAGAGGGTTCCATAGATTCATATCTCATTTACCTTATTTGTTCAATGTAGGAAAAAGTGTACGTAGTTTAGAGAAGCTTTCCGATAAAGATTCGATTGACTTGGAACCATTGGACATTGTTAAGGAACAACCGACCGAACTGAGAAAACAACACTGTGAGTGCAATTTGATAAATACAGACAAATATAATAAACTGCTAAACGAACAAGCATTTGAATAAACAAAACAAAAAATAAACACCCAAACACCCAAAACACAAGATCAAACAAGAAGCAGCAGCAACAATAAACCAAAAAATCAACATAAACCAACATAAACATGCAACCATCACCAACCGACATTCTTTACATGCTAAAATTTATATTTGTCTGAAAATTATGTGATATATATATCTCCAAAACATTTCTTTTTTTATGCCTTTGTGGACTGTAAATGGAGATGCATTGAAAGCTTCTCTCCTATAATCTCAAATCCCAAAACGTCCGATTTCTGTATATTAAAACTACGACCGCATTGCATGACGGTTGGCGATGGCCCTTTACACAAATTGATTGATATTTGACAATTTGTTAATTGTATCAATGGAAATCTAGTCTCGGTTGATTGTWCCATGTTTTTGTTTCTAGCCATAAGCCCTGCCTCTGAGAGCAGTTTCGACTTTTCCAATGACAACTCGAAGCTTGTGAAGCCGTCCTCTGAGCCGAAGGTTAAGATCAAGATTCCAAAATTGAAGTTCTTGTTTCCCTGGTGGTKCGTGTATGTAGGTTGGTTTCTTTGTTTTTTCACATCAACAGTCTCAGCGTTTTTCGTGATTCTTTACGGCAGCCAAATGGAAATCAAAAAACAACAACAGTGGTTAGTTTCAATGTTCATCTCTATCGCCCAAGACATCTTTATCTCTCAACCACTAAAAGTGCTCGGTTTTGCTATGTTCTTTGCGCTTATATGGAAGAAACCAGAAAAAGAAGACGATACTCTTACAGCTGAGCTCGCAAAAGATGAAGAGTGGCTCAAAGAAAACGTTGGTGGCAGGCGGCGTAACGCTCTAATTGCGCATCGTCCAAAATACTTGCCACCAGATGAGGTAAGTATGAATCAGGTACAGCTAGGCCAATGAACAATRTGCAGGGATGATATTTTGTGCAGCAAAGCATGGTGGTAGTTATACAACCCCCATCATGCTTTGCTAAACAAAACGGCGTCGCTACAGCAAAATACAATACATAATATGATGAATTTTCTTCCATTTAGATCATGCTTAAGAAAGCGCGTATCCGTCGATTTAAAGAGCGTAAGATGTTTTCTGTTATACGGGAAATCGCCTTGTACGCCATGTTCGTCTGGGTGGTCCTCGTCGTCGCGTATGGACACAGGGATCCCAATTCAGAAGTTTTGAACCAAGGAATTGAAAATATGCTGACGGGCAAAGGAAAYAGTTGGCTAGTGGATTATACAAGGAAGAAATCGAAAAATGAAACGTTAAGGAAGTTTCTCAAGGTAACGTCTTATCTTAAGCGATCAATGTAGCAGTCTGTTTGAATTTTTAATATGACAAAGTCTCTCCTGTGATCCAGTAACAACACTATTTSAAATTGGCGATGTACAATCACATTTTGATAATTTGAACTTTGAACAGGTCAGCGGTGTGGATAAGTATTGGAACTGGACGAGAGCTATTCTTCTCCCWTCGCTGTATAATGGACCGTGGTATAACGGAGAGAAAGACAACCCTGGTTTTATGGCAGACAGATCATCATGGGTCGTGGGCGTGGCAAGGATTCGACAGTTACGTGTCAAAACAGGTATACGTCTTTCTATATTTTTCGCTTAAAGGGACATGGTCTACCAGCATCCCTTTCGAGCTTTTGCTCATGTTTGAAAATAAGAATACATCGTAATATAAGCAAAAAGTTTGTCTTTATTATCCTGTTTATACTATATGGATCGAAATACTGTAAGATTCGACCTTTAAACCGATGGATAGAAACGGATTGCGAATGGACATTCGAAGTCATCTCATTTTCCATATATGAAAAATCTAAAACACGACCACATTGAATACTGGGGGACCATGTCCATTTAAAAGAGTGGAAAAGTAGTCCTGAGTTAGTAGCATTGGCATGTTTAAATGTTTCTAATGCGTCTTTGCAGATWCMTGTGAAGTGTCCAAAGTTTTCCARGGYTCACTKAGGGARTGYAATGAGCCATATTCATGGACAAGCGAAGATACAACTAATCAGTTTCGTCCAGGTTGGCTACGAGCTTTACCTAACTACACTACACCCAACCAAGCCTGGATGTATCGAACTGGTACTGCTCTTAAGTCACTACCTTTTCTAGGTCGCCTGGCCTTCTATAGTGGCGGGGGCTATGCAGAAGACCTGGGGCCTACTTTAGAAGTTACCAAGAAAAAAATWGAAGAGATGGAGGCTAATAACTGGATTGATAAGCTAACTCGTGCTGTCTTTGTGGARGTGACTATTTATAATTCCAATACTAATCTTTATTGCGTGATCTTCTTGGTTCTGGAAGTTTCGGCCAGTGGAGGAACATTTCCGTTCGTTGAACTTCTCATCACTCGAATTGATCGCTACGCGGGGAATTTCATGATATTCGTYCTTATCTTCGAGTTGGCCTTCGTYRTGTTCGTCTTATTCTTCACGTATAAGCTGTTCAAGGGCGCTCTTAAAATAGGACCAAGGTATTACTTTAAGAGGTATTGGAGTTGGGTGGAACTAGGTTTAGTCAGTCTCTGTTGGACGTCAATTGCTCTATATTTTGTACGATTTGGGATCAACACTATGACTCAGACGAATTATCGCAAGACACCGAATGAGTTCGTGAACTTCCACCATCTTGCCGTCAGTGATCAGCTGTTTGGGTACGTCTATGCCTTCGTGGTTTTTCTTGTGTCTTTGAAGTTCTTGCGTCTTTTTCGGTTTAATCGAAGGATGTCTCTATTGGCGTCGACGTTGCACAACGCTTCTAAAGAACTKTGGTGCTTTAGCTTGGTGTTTGGAATCGTATTCATGGCTTTTGTTCATTTTTGTTACATGGTGTTTTCCAATGACCTCTACATGTTTCACACAGTAATGTCCTCAGCAGAAACTCTGATTAGCGTCATGTTAGGAAAGTTCAGTTATGAACGTCTRCTCCAAACCAACCGTATCCTCGCACCGTTGATGTTCTTCTTCTACAGYTTAATCGTCGTGTTTGTCCTCATCAACATGTTTATTTCCATAATTATCGAGAACTTTCAAGTTGTGAAGCGAAACAACGACCTGCAGTCCAACGAGTACGAAATCGTCGACTTCATGATGGATCAGTTCAAGATTTGGCTCGGCTGGAGCTCGTGGGGAGTGATTTTCTCCAAGAACAAAGTCAGTTCATATCCAATGGGCAAGCCCAAGTATAAGAAACCCAAAAGAGAAACAGAGACGGACAAATTGAATGATCGCATCGATCGTCTTATCGAATTAATACAAGAAGTTTATTTTGACGAGCCTGATTTTCTTGCCAATGACGCAGGGGAAGTAAC